TATGAAAATTAATAAAATATAATTATATAAGGGAAAAAAAGTTATCTTAGTGGAAATTTCAAATAGGTATTAAATGCATGAATCTGAGTTTTAGAGCATTCAGACTTAGGTATTTTTGTTGTCGTTAGGTGCCGTCAAGTTGACTACAATTCATAGCAAACCAATCAACAACAGACCGGAACTTTACTCTCTCCTGCACTATCATCACAATCTGTAATATGCTCAAATCCATTGTTACATTCACTGTGCCAGTTCATGTTATTGGAGGATCTTCCTCTCTTTTTTTGACCATCCACCTTTTTCAGCATGAAATTCTTTTTTAAGGACTGGTCCCTTTGACTACATGCTTATAGTTTTTGAGATCAAATGTCACCATCCCTGCTTCAAAGTATACCTGGTTACTGTTCTTTCTAGACAGGCTTTGTTCTTTTGGCAGTCCATAGGATACTCAGTACTTTTTTCTAGCACCACAGCTCAAAGACATCAGCTCTTCTGTCATCTTTATTCAACTTGATGCAACTTTCAGCTAGCAAGTAATAGAAAATACTATGGCTTGGATCAGGCACACCTTAGTCTTTAAACTGACATTCTTGCTCTTTAGCATTTTGGAGAAGTCCTTGATAGCAGATTTCCCAGTGCAGTATGTTTGTTAATTTCTTGACTGTTCATATTGTGGATGTTGATTGTGTAGCCAAGCAAGATGAAGTAAAGATTACTACAGCCTAAGAAGGCCTTTTGAGGAAGTTCTAGTCTGTCTCATGGACTTATTAATAATTTAAATTGGCTTCATGGCACCTAACAACAGGAAAATAATTGCCTTCTAAGCTTTTGGAGAACAGCTTTGTGATGAAAAAAAACTCTAAAACTCATTGCTATTGAGTTAGAACATTCAGGAAGAGAGTGCCCATGTTTCTCCCTGGGAAGTAGGTTTGAACTTGTGCCTTTCAATTGGCAGTGCAGCTCCTTACCCACCAGCCACCAAAGTTCCTTCCCATTTGTGATGACGGAGTATAATTGACAGTTGTTTGTGGAGAAACTTAAAATATAATAGATTTGAGTAACAAAATGCTATGGCCTGTTGAGATAGTACATTCAGAAAACAAAAGAAAAGGAAGAATTTTTTTTTTAATTAGTTAGAGCTTTATGGTTTTTTGCTTTGATCCGTCTTAGAAGGCAGTGAGGGATAACAGAAAAATCATTATAACTCAAAGAACTAATCAAGGTTGGTTCAGGTAATTCTTACTTCTTTATAATTTTATTTCATTGAGAAATAAGAAACCATGATCCTGAAAATTACTAGGAAAGGTAAAAACCGGGAATGGATCAAGATATCTGAAATTATTTTTTCAAAAAAATATTGTTAATTATACACAATTTCAAGATTGTCTTTTGAACTCTACTTTTTTATGTACTTTAAAAACATTTGTAATTATTTTTGTTATATAGAGAAAAACACTGCTGAAAAGAAATGTGGCGAGACCAGAGTTATGATCTTCTCATCATTTCGAGATAGTGTTCAAGAAATTGCAGAAATGCTTATTCAACACCAGCCTGTTATTAGAGTAATGACCTTCGTTGGCCATTCTTCAGGGAAGAGCATGAAGGGTTTTACCCAGAAGGAGCAGCTAGAGGTAATGAAAAGGAAAATTGATTACCTTGGTATTTATACCATTTGTTTTGTTTTGGTTTAACTGACTAGCAATTGGCTTCTTCATAAAGAAAATTTTATAGTAAACATGTAGTAAGAATAGGCATATTTCTAAAGATCCCCAAAGATCTTTGTTGTTTTAAAACTTTTAAAGTAGAGTGATATACAGTATAATAGTTAATCAGACTGAGTCTGGAAAGCTATTAACATTGGAATCCTGGCTCTTTAACACATTTCTTTTTTTGTTCTATGCTTAAGTTTTCCTTATCTGTGAAGACACTTAATAGGTTTTCTGTGAGCATTAAATAAGATCATACTGTAGAGTATTCAGGAAAGATAATGCTATTTTGTGTCATTGTAATAACTTTTCTAAATAAATAATGAGTTTTTCTGCTTTTCTATGATTTATAAAACCAATAATAATAATATCATAGGGAAAAGTGGTATTTTAGCTGGCAAGTCATTAATTTTTAAGTGTTACATAAGTAATATATATTCAGGATAATTTTAGACTGATTTTTAGAAATTATGTACAGGTTCCTAAAGATTAGCTTTAGGTCTGCACTCTTAAGTGTTGTTAACTGCCATCAACTCAAGTATGCCTCTTGGTGACCCTGTGAATAACAGATTTGAACCTTGGCCTATCCTGCTCTTTTTTTTTCCCAAATAAAATTTTTATTTTATACTGGTTTACTTACAAAGTTTGTATACATTGTTTTTACACCAGATCTTTCTTATTTCCTTTGCCATCCATCCATCAAATTTTGTGACTCTATGAATACACCCCTAGCCACCTCACCACTTCCTGTGTTATCTTTATTATCTCCTACATACCAGAGACCATTGTCACTCTCTGGACTCTGCCTCTAATATTGTAGCTGCCTGTAATACTCTGCTGTTCATAGTGTTTTTAAGGCCTGTTATTGCAGTAGTGAATGGCCAATCCTGCTTCATAGTGTGTCTCAATCTGGGAGCTCTACTGGAAGCTGGCCAGCACTGTTGGTTCTGCAAGCATTTGAAATACTGGTAGGATCTCTTCCAGTATCATGGCAACCCACTAGTTACACCAGTACAGCAAACTGACAGACAAATTCTGTACTGAGAAGTGCAAACAGTAAACAAATGAGCATATCGTCTTAGTCACTCACAGTTAGGTATGTGCTTAATGTCTTATTTGAAAGATCTTTTTCTGGTTCTGTAGACTATTAGTAGATGAAAATTTATCATTATAAACGTTTGCCATTTTTCCTGTAGTTTTCCTGTTAGGCCTCATTGCATTCACATGAATATGTTTAAGCAGACTGGATCTGGTAAGAAGGTTCAGAAGGTTTTCCAGAGTCTGAGAAGATATATTTAATTACATGCTGTTAAGTCTCTTGCAACTCATAGCAACCCTATGTACAACAGCTCAGAACCCTGCTCTATCTCAAGCCAACCTCATATTGTCTGATATTCCTACCAGTCACTGAGTCAATCCCTCTCATTCAGAGTCTTCCTTTCTTGCACTGTCCCCCCACCCTTCCAAGCATGATGTCTCTCTCCTACGACTGGTCCCTCCTTGTAGCACCAAATGTTAATTCTGATCATAGTTGCTTTAAAGGGTTCAGTCATTTAGTGTGTGATTGTTACTATTATACGACTTATATGTGAATGGAAAATAGATTTTTTTGCCTTCAAGTAAAATATTTTTATTATTCAAGATAGGTAGATAACCCAGACTTGTCTTTAGCCTATTTCAATATTATTGAAAGTCATTATTTCCTTAGTTTTTTTGGTGCTTATTCAAAATCTTAATTATGTAACATAATCATTTACTAATTCCAAGAATTTTTATAGAGATAAAAATTTTCAAGTGGAAATATTTTTAGTACTCATATTCATACATGCTTCACAATTTATTCTAAGATGAGCATTCATGTGTATATTGATATTAAGTGGCAGTGAGTTGGAACCAACTTATAGCTGACCCTTTAGGAACTGTAAATTGCATAGGAGGGGATTGTCCGTATTTCTCCTGAAGAGCAGCTGGTTAATTTGAAACATCTGCCAGAGAGAGTAGCTGGTGATTTGAACTGCCAGAGTAAATGCACTCTGACTTCTTTTTATTTACATTGTGGGAAGGTAACACATACATTTTTAAGAAACTAGAGGCTCGTATTGGGAAACCTTTCAGACTATGCTTTATGTATTCCTTCATTTGTACTTTTTTCTTTATACATAAGCTATCCTATGAACCTTGAGAAAGGATGAAAGTCATGCACGCAAGTGTCGAGAACTTTCGTTCATAGGGTCGTTATGAGTCGCCTGTGACTCGACGGCACTTAACAACAACACAACACATAAGCTATAATTTTAAGCATAATACTTTCTGTACATTCTGTCAGTCATTCTAGTGAATTATCAACCCTAAAGAAGTTAGTGGGCCAGCAATTCAGTAGATGAGCAAACAAACATGAATCCTAAGTTTGTGATTATTATACTGAAGGGTTGGGATAAAACCCTGACTTATTAGCCAATAAGGCAGAGTGCCTTGGTGAACTACAACTTGCAGTTTGTGTCAGACTTGGTCATCTAACTTTCCTTCATGAGATTTGCCCTAATTCTAGTGATTAAAGTCAGAGGAAGATGTATTACAGTTGTAGTTGCCAATGAAATCTTAAAAAATGGATTTGAATTGGAATAGTATTCTTTCAAATGGAGAGACAGAAGTTTTTATGGGGTATATTGTGTGATGTTAGGTCTAAAACATTGATGAAGAGTTGGGGAGGAACATTTCAATGTGATAAGAGAACCAGGTAGGACATCTGCTTGCCGCAGGCCCAGCAGTATGAGTTATGAAAGGGAGAGTAGCCTTCATGGAAAGCAGTGTCTTCACAGGAGACCAGATTTCACTCTGAACAAGAAGATTTAAGTATTGTTTTCTGGGAATTATGTCAGCATTATAACTTTGCAGGGATTAGAGTCTGGGACATGAATGATGATTTGGATTTTTCTTTTAAATTAATTTTAATGAAAGTTTACAGAGACTTAGGGCTTCCAGTCATTCATTGTTACCCTTTTCTCCCTGCTCACCCCTCCCCTCCAGTTCGTTCTTCTCTTTGAAAAGTGAAAGAAAAATTCTTTCATTGTTATACAATCCATCCCCCCACAAGTCTACTCCACTATGAAGCCTTCACTCTGGAATTCTATAATGATAAGAATACCCATTCATATGTCTCTTTTAAACAGTTCTTTCCCTCATCTTTTTCAATGCAATATACATCTTTCCTCCCCTCCTTTTCTGTCTTTCCTCAATTCTGATGTCAGTCTCATTTTACAACAGTGATCCTATGCAATATTTGCCCTTTTGTGACTTAAATATTTCACTCAGCATGATGTCCTCTATTTTGCATAATATTTCATGAGTTCTTTGTTTTTCAGTGATACATAATATTCCATTGTGTGAAGATAGCAGAGCTTCTCTATCCATTTGTTTGTTGATGAGCACTTGGGTTATTTCCAGCTCTTTGCTATTTATTGTGAACAATACTGCAATAAACATGGATGTGCATGATGATTTGGATTTTTGTAATGACTGCCTTAACTGTTTCCTTAAGGGAAATAATGAATGTAGTCTTGTTTGTCTTAAGAAGATTCTGTTGTGGCCTTTGAGTATAGAGAATATTGGGGATCAAGAGAATAAAGTTCCAAGTCTTTAACTGTATGTGTGACCCTGACCCAAAATCATTTAGAAAAGATCTGAAGATTGCTCAGTGTTCTTGAAATGTTTAAAAGAAGATGGATTTGAGGGATGTTTAAGAAGACTGGGTTGTATATAGATTGTATTTGGAATTGTGAAGATAAAGGAGTTACGACTTCTAGAATTTTTCAGCCTGCCAAACCAGAATGATAGTGGTGCTCTTTGTGGAGATTGGAAATATAGGATTAGGACCAGTTTGGTGGTGTTGATTTAATACTGGGAATTTTAAGTTTCAGAGGCAAGGGGAATACCAGCAGAACTCTCCAGTGTCAAGTAAGCAACTGTATATATTGCTTGTTATGTCGCTAACTCATTTAACTCTCTGACTTAGAACAATACCTTTTTTCGGTCTTTTTCTCAGCATTCACTATAAAGGCTGTAAAATCTAGTATTATGGCAATTCGTAGGTTAGAAAATGAGCTACTGTGACTATGTTCATATTAGTAACTTTATTCAGGCTTTCTTTTAATAGTCATTCATAAAAGCATTAGTTAAATGTAAGACTGATTCTTCTGGTATATAGTCGTACATTTTCTATCCTTGTTACTAGGAAAAAAGGATTTTATCAGTGTCAGTCCTAGCAGCTAATGATTGCTTCAAATGTATATACCCATGATATTGTGTAAATTATTTTACAGGGAAAAATCTAATATTAATCTATTTATTAATCTAATATTCATTTATTGGAAGCCTTTAGCTGTATTTAGCTGTATAGACAGACAACACAAAACCAAGGATTTAATGTGAAGAAATTATACTTAGAGAATAGTTATATAAGACTATCTAGTTAATGTAGTAGAGAAAAAAAAGTGTTAATGAAATAACTTCTGGTTTATGTTTTCCAAACTCTAGATAGATTTATATAAATCTTGGGCAAATAGGTAACAGTTTACTTTATGTTTACTAGTTAACAAAAAGGAAGTATTTGACATTCCTGTTTTTTTGCATCTCTAGCACCGTGGCCCTTTTTTGTTTTTTTTTTTTTTTTCTTGATCTGGGCAAAAAAGGACATCTGTTTTATTAATCTACATACAGGTAATATTAGGTCATTCTTTTCTTGGCTTAATGTTATTGCAGATTCCAAAAGGAAATGAACTATTCTTAACTTTCAATTATGATCATTGGTTTTCTCTGTACTATAGTATTCTGTGTTGAGGGAAAATTTTTGACTAGTGCTACTGGAAATGTTAAAAATATAACATATTAAACTGTTAAGTTTAACATGTAGATTTATATTCTGTTATTAAAGTGGTTACTTTAGATAATAGAACTAGTTTAAGGATTAAAATTATGTGGCATTTCAGTCAGATGTAAATGCACATGCTGATGATAACATTAGTTAGAATTAAGACATACAGCTTAATGTCTCAGATCCTCAGTTTCTTTATATAATGAATTTGTATGATAATATCTATCTCTTTTATTGGGTTGTTGAGGGTAGTAACAATTTTTTTCCAGATTTAGAATGATATCCTTTATAGAACATGTTTTCATACATAGTGATTATTATAAACCATTTTAGCTTTTCACATATGAAAATAATTTTGTTTCAATTATTCTTCGTACTGATAAAGTTGTAGGATATTTGAGCTTGAAAGGCCCTTATGGTCTTTCATGATGTGTCCATAACTTTTTTGTGATATGGTAGAATTCATTATTCTTTTTTGTGTCTACTCCCCTAAATTTTCTCCTGAAGTTTACTTATTATATAGTGGATCTAATAGCCATCATTCATGTTATCTGTTTTGTTTAGCCATTTTTTTATTTTAGTAAACATTCATAAAGGCATTAACCCAGAGTGTTATTGATTCCTCTGGAACACCATCTTTTAGTTTTTTGCTCTTATTCTCTATCCATTCATTCACATTGTAATTTAATTACTACCATCACCACTTTTCTGTATATGAACTTGCAAAATTGATGTTGATATCTAAATATATAGAAACTGAGGCTCAGAGAAATTGGGAACAAAGTCTAGGCTTTAGGAAGTTTTTGCTTCATGACTATTTCTTTAACTCATTCTCATGCTATTGTAGTTTCATTAAACTGATCAGAGAGAAATCCTGCAGTGGCAGTATAAAAGGTAAGATTTCATTTTTAGGAGTAATAAAACATTTTTTTATTTTAGATATATGTTACTGCATTAGGTTACTAAGATACATTTAGGGCTAGGATATAGTAAGTGGAAATAATTACCCTAGGTTTATTTACTTGCCCTTTACCTCTTTTTCAGTTGGTGCTAAAATAACAAACATAAGATAGACCAAACAATGCAAATTGTTAGCAAACCATTTGGACATCATAACGATCATTAAGGCAAAGAAATTAGGATCCTCCTTTTGTTTTTCCTATGATCATTTTTGGGTTATAATGTCATTTTATGACCCCCTTTCCTATTTTGTGATCCTGATTTTTAATCTAATGTCACCATTTTAGGGAGAGTGAAAACATTTTTATTTATAATTCTTAAAATAGTTGTTGCTGTTATGTGCAGACAAGTTGCTTACAACTCATAACAACCCTTTGTACAACAGCCCTGAACTCTGTTCTAGCCTATGCCAACCTTTTTGTCTCTGATATGCCTACCTTCTTTACCCCAGATACTGAGTTAGTCCATCTCATCAAGGGTCTTCTCTTGCACTGTCCCTCCACCCTCCCAAGCATGATGTTCCTCTCTAAGGACTAGTTCCTACTTGCAACATGCCCAGAGTATGTCACATGAAGCCTCAGAATCCTTGTCTTCAAGGAGCAGTCTGGTTTTACTCTCTCTAGGATGAACTTGTTTATTCTCCTGGCAGTCCATGGTATATTCAATACTCTTCTCAACATCACAGCTCAAAGGCATCAATTTTCCTTCTATTATCCCTAGTCATTGTCCAGCTTTCTGATGCATAGCAAGTAATTGCGAAGACTATGGCTTGAATCAGGTGCATCTTAGTATCTAGTTGATTTTGACTTATTTTTATTTTAGGTAGTGAAAAAATTTCGTGATGGTGGTTATAACACATTAGTTTCTACCTGTGTTGGTGAAGAAGGCTTGGATATAGGAGAAGTTGATCTTATAATATGTTTTGATGCTCAAAAAAGCCCAATTCGTCTTGTGCAACGAATGGGTAGAACAGGCCGCAAACGTCAAGGCAGGATTGTCATTATCCTTTCTGAAGGGCGAGAAGAGCGTGTAAGTACACTTGTAGAAACATGATTTTATATTTAATGTTTGAAAAATATGGCCAAAAAACAAATACTTATTCTTGTTTAATACTCAAAGGGCATAACATTTTTTTGTTAGGTAATTGTGGTTGATTTCTCCCTATTCTTTTTCTACTAGATTCTAACTATTCTTGTAATTAGGAGATTTTTGCCCAGATTAAATTTCACATTTTTTTTTCATCTAAAGACACACATTTTAGTACTATTATATTCATTTAAAGACCTATTACTATGTTGTTGTTGTTGTTATGTGCCATCAAGTCACTTGCGACTCATAGCGACCCTATGTACAACAGCCCTAAACTCCGCTCTGTCCTGTGCCAATCGCACTGTCTCTGACACTCCCATCCCAATTACCCCAGTCACTGAATCACTCCACCTCAGAGGGCCTTCCCTTCCTGCGCTGTCCCTCCACCCTCCCAAGCATGATGTCCTTGGTCTCTCCTTACAACATGTCCAAAGTATGTTAGACGGAGCCTCAGAATCCTTGTCTCCAAGGAGCAACCTGGCCATGGTACTCTCAATACTCTTCTCCAGCACCACAGTTCAAATCCACCAAATTAATGTATATTTCTTTATGTTATAGTTTTTTGTCCTTTTTAAGCCTGTTCCTTTGTTTGTTACTTTTAAAATTTTTTATATTTTATTTTTTTAATTTTTAAGTTTGTTTTGTGTGTGTACTGGTATAGGAGGAGATTGTCCCTCCTTCACCAGCAGAGCATCTGGTGGATTTGAACTGCTCACCTCTGAGATTGCAGTGTAGCTTCTTGCCACTAGGCCACCAGAGCTGACCTATTTGTTAATTTTTAAAAACTATAGTGGTTTTTACTTTTTAAGGTCTTGGGGGGAAAATAAAGGCAAACAATATGCTCTGGATACAATGTGTGACCTACAGTTCTTCAAGTACATTTATTTTCTTGCCTTTTACAGATAAATTTGCTCTTGTTATTTAGAATCACAGGACATTTGAATTATACTTTTTGCTTATCTAGGATGATATGCTTCATGTTTGTTACCTAAAGTTTACTAACTTTTGTAACTCAGTGGGACTGGTTCAGCGGCCTAATACAAATAGCTTTATTGTATAGACTACCTAATTTGCTGTAACATTTTCTAAAAAGTGACTTAGTATTTTTTGTATACCTTTAATATCATCCTGAATAATGAATTGTTTTTCCCTAAGACTTTTCATGTAATTTACAAAATCCCTTATGTAATGACACACATTTAATGAGCACTTATTTTGTACTTCTCTATATTTAAGAGCTTTTATATGCATTATGTTCTTTAATTCTGCTAACATTTGTGTATGGATGAGTGATGCTTTTCTTACTGGATGAGTGAAATGCAGAGAAATGAAGTAAGATGCTGAAATAAGGAAATTAATTTTTTTAAAATATATTTTTAAGCAAAATATCAACCTTATTCAAAACAATAAGAAATTAAATAAATAGATTATACAATTTGGTTACTGAGGTGATATTTTATAACAATGGATTTAAAAATAATATTTTCATCAATAATTCATCTAATGGACTTACTGATATATTTTAAAATCAGTAAGCAGAAATCTTGTTTTCTGAGTATTTAAGTACTTCAGGGATTACTATTATGAGAAGAAATAGAAAATTAATAGAATATAGCTACTTGTTATGGCTAAATGTTTACTGTAGAAATAATGTAATTTAACATTTGATATCTGTTTGTAGACTTATAATCAAAGCCAGTCCAACAAAAGAAGTATTTATAAAGCTGTTTCAGGTAACAGGAAAGTTCTTCATTTTTACCAAAGAAGTCCACGAATGATTCCTGATAGAATCACTCCAAAATTACACAAAATGTTCATCACACTTCCAGACTATGAACCTGAGAAGCCTTCATGGAACATGCAGCGTAAGTTCTCTACTTTTTCTTATGTTGTTGTTGTTATGTACCCTCACATTGATTATGACTCATAGTGACTCTGTGAACAGCAGCTTGGGAACTTGTCTTATCTTGTGCCATGCTTACAACTCTGACATGTTGGAGCCCATTGTTATAATCATTATGTTAATCCATCCTGTTAAGGGTCTTTTCTTTGACCTGACACCTTTCCCAGAATGATGTCTTTTTCCAGAAACTGACCCATCTTGATAACATGCCCAAAGTATGTAAGACAAAGTTTCAACACCCTAACCTCTGTGAAGCACCCTGACTGCACTTTTTCTAAGACAGATTTGTTTGTTCTTCTGCCAGTTATTCTTCTCTAATACCACAGTTCAAAGGCAATGATTCTTCTTTTGTCCTCTTTATTCATTGTCCAACTTTCATATGCATAGAAAGCATTTGAAAATATTTAGACTTCTATCAAGTGCACAATAGTCTTTAAACTGATATTGTTTAGCACTTTAGAGAGGTCCTAGAGAGCAGATTTCTCCAATGCAATACATATTTTGATTTGACTGTTGCTACCACTGGGCTGACTGGCAGCATCATGATAGATGGTGAAAAGATTTAGATTTTTTTTTTTTAATTTTATTTTACTATTTTGTGTGTGTGTACCATCAAATTGGATCTTACTGGTACAGGAGGAGATTGCCCTTTCTTCTCCAGCAGAGCATCTGGTGGATTTGAACTGAATGCCTCTGGGATTATAGTGAAACTTCTTGCCACTAGGCCACCAGAACGCAAAGATTTAGATTTTTTAACAGTCTCAGTTTACTTGGCTTCACAATCAACACTCTTGGTACCAGCAGCCAGGAAATCAAAAGACGAATTGCACTGGGAAAATCTACTGTCAGGGACTTCTCCAGAGTACTGAAGACCATTGTCAGTCTGGAGGCTAATGTGCACCTGATCCAGGCCATGGTCTTCACAGTTACTTGCTATGCATCAGAATGGTGGACAATGTCTAGGCATGATAGAAGGAGAATTGATGCCTTTGAGTTGTGGTGCTGGAGAAGAATATTGAATATACCATAGACTCCTAGAGCAAACAGCTTTGTTCTAGAGAGGCTGTTTCTTGGAGGCAAGGATTCTGAAGCTTCATCTGACAAACTTTGGGCATGTTGCAAGTAGGAACCAGTCCTTGGAGAAGGACATCACCAGACCATGGGTGGAGAAATAGAGCAAGAGAGGAAGACTCTCTGGAGCTCTGGTGGCCTAGTTCCAGGAAACTGCACTACAGTCCCAAAGGCACGTGGTTCGAGGCCAACAGCTGCTCCATAGGAGAAGATGGGTAATCTATTCCCATATGATTAACAGCTCCTGAAAAACCTCTAGAGGGTCAGCTATGGATCAGTTTCAACCCTACAGTACACAACAACAACACAGTTGTTGGTTTATTTAAAAAAAAAAAGAGGAAGACCCTTGATGAGATGGATTGACTCAGAGTCTGGGGTAATGGGGGTAGGTATGTCAGAGACAATAAAGTTAGCTAAGGTTAGAGCAGGGTTCAAAACTGTTGTACATAGAGTCACTCTGAGTCACAAGTGGCTTGATGGCACATAACAATAGCCACCACCATGGATGTTGACTATGGATCCAAATAAAATGAAATTTTTCACAATTTCCAACTTTTGTGTAGTTAATGATTTATTCATTGAACATATTTTAAAAAAAATTACAAATGGTGGCTATACATGTGAATCTCACCTGAACTCAGAATGACTAGATCTGTGGAATGAGTAGTGGAGAGACTCAATATCAGCAGTCAAAACAAAATCAGTGGCTGACTCTGAAACACACCATCAACTCATGTGCAGGTTCAAATTGAAGCTGAAGAAAATTAAAACAAGTGCACAAGCATCAAAAGGTGACCTTGAGTCTATTCCACCTGAATTTAAAAACTGTTTTAAGAATAGATTTGATGCATTGAACGCTAGTGACTGAAGACCAGATGAGTTGTTGGATAACATCAAGGATAACATCTGTGAATAAAGCAAAAGGTTATTACCTTTTAGAAAGAAAAGACTAAAATGGATATCAGAAGAGATTTTGACTGATATTTTTCTGGTTCATGAGCATGATGATTGGGTGTTCATGCTTTTTTATGACCTGTACCACGCTTAAGCCTTCTTACAAAATGAGCACAATACCTGTCTGACGTAAAAATAAAAAGAAGATATTTTGAAAATTGCTTTTAAATGTAATGAAGCCAAAACAATGGGAATAAATGATAAATAAAGAGAACTGAACAAGGGCAGCAAAAGACTAAACAAAATATTATAATGAAATGAGCCAAAACATGAGTTTAGAAAAAACAAAAGGTTGGCATTTCTCTCACAGAAAGATCTGAAAACCAAATTTAGACCTTGAGCTGCAATATTGAAGATTTTTATGGGAAAAATATTGATGCAGAAAGCACCAAAAGAAGATAGAAAGAATACAAAAAGTCATTGTACAAAAAAGAATTGATCAATACTGAACCATTTCAAGAAGTAGCATGCAGTTAAGAACTAGTAGTGCTGAAGGAAGAAGTTCAAGGTGCACTTAAGATAAGTCTTAAGTCTCCATGAATTGACAGTATACTAACTGATTGTTTCTACAAACAAATGGAGCCCTAGACATGCTCATTAGATTACGTTAAGGAATTTAGAAGACAGTGCACATCCAAAAACTTCTCCAACAGGGTAAAAAGTGAAGCCACAGACTGGAAAAAATATTTGGTAATGACATGTCAGATAATGGACTTATATCTAGAATTTATAAAATGCTTGAGACCACAACAAGATAAACGTAAATAACCCAATTGAAAAATGGGAACAGGATGTGAACAGACACTTCATCAAAGAAGACATTCAGATGGCAAACAAACACATGAAGAAATGTTCAAAATTCCTGGTTCTAAGAGAAATGCAAATCAAAACAACTATGAAATATCATCTCATCCCAGTAAGAATAGCAAGATTTAACGGAACAGCAAACATCAAATGCTGGTGAGGTTGTGAAGAAACTGGAACCCTTATTCATTGTTGGTAGGAATGTAAAATGGTGCAGCTACTTTGGAAGGCTGTATGACGCTTTCTCAAAAAGTTGCAAATAGATATAGATATACCATTTGACCCAGCAATTCCACTACTGGGAACATACCCCAAAGAAACCATAACTGTCACTCAAGCAGATATATGTACACCCATATTCACTGCAGCTTTATTCACAATAACAAAGAGTTGGAAAAAACCAAAGTGCCCATCAACAAACAGATGTATAGAGAAGCTCTGGTATATTCACACAATGGCTTACTATACTGTAGTGAAAAACAAGGAAACTCATGCAGTATTATTCAAAATGGATGACCCTGGAGGACATTATACTGAGTGAAATATCTCAGTCTCAAAAGGACAAATATTGCATAGTGCCACTGTTGTAAAACGGGTTGTAAAACGGGGTTGAGGGGAGACTGAGAAAGATGGGCATGTATACTGCATGCAAACAGATTAGAGAGAGAACTGTTTCAAAGCAATATATGATTAGGTATTATTATCATGACAGGAGTCCAGAATGAAGGCTACACAGTGGAGTTCACTTTGGGGGAGGGATTGTATAACAATGAAGGAATTTTTCTTTTACTTTTCAAAGAGAACGAGGGTGGGGGCGGTCGGCAGGGAGAAAAATGCAATAATGAATGAATGGAAATCTAAGGTCTCTGTAAATGTTCATTAAAATTAATAAAAAAAAAAGAAATTTGGATATAGAAAGCTAGTTCGTCAGCTTACTGGAAAAGATATGTATTTGTTTTCATTTTCCCCAAAAGGTGATCCAACAGTGTGGAAATTATAACAAAAAATCATTAATACCACATGCAAGTAAAAGAAAATCTTGCTGAAGATTGTCAAATAATGGGGAACTGCCCAAAATTCAAGTTTGATTCAAAAGCAGCTGTGAAGTTAGGATATCATGTTGTTTGAAGATGTAAAAATTTTGAAGGCATATGATGACTCTGAACTTGAAGATGTACTTATAATTTAGAATGATCTCACTGCTTTGCTTCATGGGGAATTGAAACCTTTGCCTCTGGAAAACAATACTGGAAGTTAGATGTGAAGGAATCTTTGGACTGGGCTGTGAGAGTGTGGAAGGATTCTAAGTTAGGGAGAAAGAGCCAAGTGATCATGTCTGCAGATACATTTCTTCTTTTATATGTAAAGGAGAATGATAGATACAATCTCTTGACCACCTCCCCAGTCCTCTGAAAAGGATTGGTGTATGTGTTGATTTAACAGTGGCAGTGTGAGCTTTGTTAATGTTGACAAAAGTTCCCTCATATGGAGTTACCCAGTTGATGCCTTTAATTACCCACTTAAGCCTTTTTTTCACTGACCACATGATAGCATAGGAGAGAAGATGGGAGCTCCACATCTAAGCAAGCCTTTCCCAATGGATGTTAATCAATCACTTTTCTACCTATTGTTTCCCTATAATGTAGCATAATTCTCACATTGTTCAATAAAAATAAAATATGTTGTTGTTTTTAAGTGCCGTTGAGTCACAGGTAAGTCATAGCAACCCTATGAAGCAGAGTCCTCGACACGTGGGTGCCTTTCATCCTCTCTCCAGGTTCATAGGGTTTCCGGAGGCAAGCTATTAAGGAAGTGGATGCCACTCCTCCTTCCAAAAATAAAATATACAAAGGCAAAAAAAAATAGTTATGAAATGAGGAATATCATTGCTGATGTCTAAATCAGCAATGGATTTTGTCTAAAAGCAGATAATGCCAAAAACATGTTTACTTTTGTTTTATTGACTATGCAAAGGTATTTGTTTGTGTGGATCACATCAAATTTTAGCTAACATTGAAAAGAATGGGAATCCCAGAACACTTAATTATGCTAGACCAAGCAGCAGTTGTCCAGACAGAACAAGTGTACACCGTTGTTGTTATGTGCCATTGAGTTGCCCGTGACTCAGTGACCCTATGTACCACAGCCCTAAATCCTGTTCTGTCCTGTGCCAATCTCATTGTCTCTGACACACCCACCCCATTACCCCAGTTACTGAATTAATCCATCTCATTGAGAGTCTTCCTCTCCTGCGCCGTCCCTCCAACCTTCCAAGCATGATGTCCCTCTCCAAGGGCAGGTCCCTGCTTGCAACATGTCCAAAGTATGTCAGACGGAACTTCAGAATCCTTGCCTCCAAGGAGCAACCTGGTCTCACTGTTTCTAGGATGAACCTGTTTGTTCTCCTAGCAGTCCACGGTATATTCAGTACTCTTCTCCAGCACCACAGCTCAAAGGCATCAATTTTCCTTCTATCATCCCTAGTAATTTTCCAACTTTCTGATACATAGTAAGTAACTGTGAAGACCATGGCCTGGATCATGTGCACATTAGCCTCTAGACTGACATTGTTCCTCTTCAGTACTTTGAAAAGGTCTCTGACAGCAGAACTTTCCCATTGTAATTTGTCTTTTGATTTCTTGGCTGCTGGTACCAAGAGTGTTGATTGTGGAGCCAAGCAAACTAAAGCTGTTGACAATCTTAATCTCTTCACTATCTGTCATGATGCTGTCAGTTGGCCCAGTGGTGGGAATCTCTATTTTCTTGATGTTGAGCTTCAAACCATATTGAAGGCTACAGTCCTTGACCTTCTGCAGCAAGCGCTTCAGTTCCTCCTCAGTTTCAGTAAGCAGGGTTGTGTCATCTACATAATGCAGATTGTTAACGAGGCTTCCTTCCTATAATCCTGATGCCACATTTCTCCTTATAGAGCCCAGCCTCCTGGATAATCTGTTCTTCATAAAGATTGAAAAGGTATGGAGATAGGATACATCCCTGGCTTATACCCTTCCCAATTTTGAACCATGCAGTATTTGTTTGGTCTGTTCTGACGATTACTTCCTGGTCCAAGTATAGGTTTCATATCAGCACAATCAACTGTTCTGGGATACCCATTCTTCTCAGAGTCAGCCATAGTTTGTTATGATCCACACAGTCAAATGTCTTTGCATAGTCAATGAAACACAGATAGACATTCCTCTGGTACTCCCCGCTTTCAGTCAAGATTCATCTAACATTATCTATTATATCCCTAGTACCACAGCCTCTTCTAAACCCAGCCTGCACTTCAGGCAGTTCTCTGCTGATGTACTTGTTCCAGTAATTTTTGGATAATCTTCAGCAGAATCTTGCTTGAATGTGATATTAATGATATTGCTCATGCATAGTGTATGTCAGGGTTGTATCCTTTCTCCATACTTGTTCATTCTGTGTGCTGAACAAACAGAATTCAGAGAAGACTGCCTATCTTTCTTCATTGGAGCAGCTGGTCAATTTGAACCACATACCTTGTGTTGGTAGCACAGTTCCACTAAGCCACTAGACCTCCCTCACAGAGAGTGATAGAAAGCCAGTATCTCAGGGTGGGGGGAGGAGGAGGGAATTGAAAATATTGTGCCAACCCGGAAAACCTCCCAATAAGATGTGTAAAAGATATTTCTTTCATTATCTAACAAACTAAACCAGATTATAATGTACATTATAAGCAATTTATTAATATTTCAAAGACAGAAAGAAAGTTTATGCTATTTATTTCCAACCAGTTAAAATATTTTACATCTAGATTTTTAAGAATAACAATAACTTGTCCTCATATAAGAAAGCAGCACCTTATTGTTCACATTCTACGTTTGTTAATTTTCCTTTGTGCACATTATGAAAAGATTAAATTGTTAATATGTATTAAATATACCTTATTCTATTTTTAATATGGTGTCTCTGTTCCATCTAACCCCTTTTCTCTTTCATTTTTTTAAATCTAGGCTAAAAAACCTTTTTAGTCTTGGCTTCAGAAAAGCTTCCCAGTTCTGTTGTGATTGAATCTTCATACTGATTTTCATTAGTAGATTATCTGACTCTGCTTCTGTCAGGTTGATAAAAATTCAGAGAATACGAAGGAAATCAAGAACAGAGAGCCATTCTGTCTGGCCCTGTTCTGTTAATCAATTTTCTATAAAGAAGTTAGCTCCTAGACTGAAGGCCACACTAGTGCTTTTGAAGAAATGAAAGAAGGTACAGAGATTTATAGAAGCAGGAGTAGTTTTATATGAAGAATAATAGTTTTGAGCAATAGGATCAGGTAAATGTGTAGATTACTTGCATTGATAGTATGTACTTTGTGCTTGCAAGTTTTTTAAAAAAAAACATTATTTTTAACTTTTAGGAATGAAGCAAAATAACTCAAAGAGAGATTGGTCCTTATCAGAAGAAGAATTTAAATTATGGACCAGATTTTATAGATTAAGAGACAGTGATGAAATTAAGGAGATCACTTTACCTCAAATTCATTTCCCATCTTTACAAAATGAGGAATTCAAGCCAGTAAGTTGGACGTGTTTTCAGATGCTCTTTACAACAGTTATGTAATAGCTGTAAGAGTAAAAGTGCTTGTGATGAGAATGCTAATTAATATACTTAAAAAAAGGAAGTAGACTAAGAAATAATTATTTTTTAATTTAATAATATAAATTTAATAATTTTTAAAAGTCCAAGTTTATAAATTTTAATTTCAATTTGTTGTGATCCCTACTACTTTCTTCAATATAACTATGTTATGTTTCTATGCATATAGTACATATCTACGATGAGTTGGTTTCCTTAATGATGTTGTATATCCCATAAGTAAAACATCCCATAGTGATGTTTTTTCAACAACATGTAAAAAAAATTGGAAAGCAGGTATTGATGAAAATAACTTGAGGGTAGAGGTAGTTGCTAAACAACTGCAAAAGGTCTGCATTATTTGTGTAGAAATTTGGTACATATTGATGTAATTAATCTTACCAATATGTAGTGTAAATTTGCTTGGCTGTTTATCTAATGTGTTCTTCAATATTATGCTTTTATAAAAATAGTACTATCATGATCATCTTTGTACAATTGTTTTTTCTTTTTCTTTTTGGAAATAGAGTTAGAACTTTAAACTTGGTTTTATTACATGCTTATTATAAACAAATAATTGGTAAATCTAATGCAAGTCATTAGAATTGTTCAAGTTTTACATTTGTGCCTACATTGTTGGAAAACAATCTCAAGATTTCTTTGAAAACATACTTTTGCTTAAATTATATGGCTATCAGATTTATATTTTATTCACTAACAGGGAGCATAAAAATTGGCAGTAGACAATAAGAGTATTACAAAGGGTTTATGATTTTTTTTTATTTGATTGTACAATGTAAATTGAATGGAAAAAGTAGACCATTCATAAATTATACTAAAAACATACTTTAAAGGACACCTTTAGAGCATAGAAATTTTCTTTTTTTCCTTCTGATATTTTAATTGAAAATAACTAAGTAATCTTCAGTTATTTAAGATTATGTTTAAACATGTTTTCTGGGATTTGTGTGTATGTTTGTTTGAAATCTCAGTATGTTATTTGGCTTAATCACTATTATTTTTCAACTCTTTAATCAAGACTCAAGAACCAACCATTGGAGTTCGTCAACTCTCTCTGTCTGAATGGAGAGTGTGGCAGGATCATCCTCTTCCTACTCATCAAGTTGACCATTCAGAGCGATGCCATCATTTTATTAATATTATGCAAATGATAGAAGAAATGAGATATGAAGAGGTAAAGTTTTATTATAACTTTGTTTTGCTGTTGTGACGGTGAAACTAGAACATTTAAATCTTTATTTTTTCTTAGTTTGAAATCATTATTAGAAGTAATCATGGCTGGAAAGAGTTCTTTTACTAAAGAGCTACTTGTTATTTCAAGAAGAAGCTAGTTCTACCAATAAAGACTTAATTAATTTTCCGAAAAGATTATAAGCTGTAAATGTCGAGAGTGCAACAAATTGGCTTAATGATTTATGACAAGTATAAAGCTAATTAGGATTTTTGTGTTTGGGATTTGTTGAATAGCCTCATTACATAATAATTTAGTGTTTGTCTTATATCTAGATGGTAGCTTGAGACTGTGTGGAGTATGCATGCACACACTCACACAAGTAGGGAGACATTATTTACGTGACTCTTTAATGTGTTTATTGTACTAACCAATAGAGGGTGTCAGCAACTCTTGTGGTAGGCACAGAGAAATAAAAATATATTCTTTACATTTATTGACCAATATTTCCTTGACTTAAGGTAGTTTTGGAAACTCATTCATTTTTGGCAGTTGTTACTTCATAGTATTCCTGAGGATTTTCCCTGAAGCCTCTAGAACAGGCATCCTAACTGAGTATTTGACTATTAATCTAAAAGACATGCTGGAATAAAGCCTTTTCAAAATCAAGCAAATAGGAAACACTTCTTTTAAATTAGAAAAACTGGTTATTGTTGATTGCCTTCGAGTTGAGTGACTCTTTGAACAAAAGGCCTGAAGCTCCTCTACAACTATCGACATTTATCAAAGTTCAGAGAGTTTCCGGAGGCATGCTGTTTAAAAATAGATGCCACTCCTGCTTCCAAACCTATCACAGTATGTTACTGTTGTTATGTTGAGTTGCTTGTGACGTATAGTAACCCTCTGTATAGCATCTCTGAACCCTTCCCTGTCCTGAGCCAGTCTCACTAACAACTCCCATTGCCATAGTTACTATATCAATTCATCTCATCCTGGGTCTTCCTCTCCTGCACTGTCCGTCCACGTTTCCGAGCATGTGGTCCTTCTCCAAGGACTCATCTCTCTTGGCCATATGCCAAAGTAAGTGAGCCAGAACTTCAAAATCCTAGTTTCCAAGGAGAGACTTGGTTTCACCCTCTCCAAGACAGATCGATTTCTTTTCTTAGCAGTCCATGGTATGTTCAAGAAAAACTGATAGTTTATAATTTTAGTTTAACTTCACTTGCACTTCACGTTTCCAGTAATTTTCAGAAGACTGACAGCATGTAATTTTTCTTCCTCCTTCTTTAGCAGAAATTCTAAATGGCTAGCTTTGGTAGTACAGTGGTCAAATACTGAATTGCTAACTGAAAAGTTGGAAGTATGAACCTACTAGCTCTTTCACTGTAGTAAGATATATTAGTAATTTGCCTCCATGGAAATTTACAACTTTGGAAACCTTATGGGACAGCTGTGTGTACTTGGTCCTCTACATCACAGGACAAGTGACTGTGAGTTGGAATTGACTTTAAGGCAAAGAGTTTCTAATTTTAATATTTTAGCTAGGATCTCATGGCTTCCTTTTGATGATAGGTGCTTTCAAATTGCCTGTGATTCATTTCAACCCTATGAGTAACAGATCGAATCTTTGTCATATTCTGTAGCATCCTCACTGTCTCTGCCATGCTCAAACCCATTACAGTCACCCCTCCTAACAAAATGCTCCAACTAAGTGTAATGTTTCACCATTCTTGACTTTAAAGAACATACTGATTATACTTCCTTTAAGACAATTTTGTTTGTTCTTTTGGCAGGCAGGCCATGGTGTAGTTGTTAATACTTTTCTCCAGTACCACAGTTTAAAGGCATTGGTTTTCTTTTTTTTTTTTTCTT